CTTAGAAATTATTTAATGAATAATTTTTCTTAAATATTTCAAAATTAATTCAATTTTCAAAGAGTTGCGTTTACAATTTTCATAAATAGATGAACTTCAAAATGTTTTAATTTGAAAACTTAGAAACTTTCAATTTTGAATGAATTTAATTAAAAATTTTAAAGAACTTTGAAAAATTTTATTTTAGTAATTCAAATTCTTCTGAAATTAGTTAAATTCTTTAATATATTAAAATAAATTTCTTAATATTTAAACTATAATTATTAAAAATAATAGATTTATAGAAGAATTTTAGTTAAAAATACTAAAAGAAAATTGAATTTTGGAGAAGTTACAAATGATTGCAGAAATTCAATTATTTTCAAAAACAATAAAATTCTTCGCAAAAATTCAATTATATTCAAAAAGTTTTAAAAATTTTCGTCCAAATTTCAATTATTACAAGAATTGAATTATTTTCAAAAGTAATAAAATTGTTCGCAGAAATTCAATTATATTCAAATTTTTTTTTAATTTTCGTCAAAATTTAAATTATTGTTATAAATAATAAAATTCTTCTCTGAAATTCAATTATTTTCAAAAATTTTAGTAAAATTCTTGGCAAAAATTTCGATTATATTTAAAAAATTTTTTAATTCAATGATTTATAATATCTACTATATTTTAATAAAATTTTACAAAAGAATTCGATTATTTAAAAATTTGTTTGATAAAATGCAAAGCAAACATTCAATTATTTTCATAAATAATACAAATTTCAAAGGAATTCAATTTATTTATAAATTTTTTATTAATTTCTCCGCAATAATTAAATTATTTTCATAAATAATAATATTCATTACAAGAATTCAATTATTTTCATAAATAATAATATTCATTACAAGAATTCAATTATTTTCAGAAGTAATAAAATTCTTCGCAGAAATTCTATTATTTTCAAATTTTTTTTTTAAATTTTCGTCAAAATTTAAATTATTGTTATAACTAATGAAATTCTTCTCTGAAATTTAATTATTTTCACGAATTTTAATAAAATTCTTGGCAACATTTCAATTATCTAAATAGAATTTTCCAAAAGAATTCAATTATTTAATAAAATTTTTTGATGAAATTCTACGCAAAGATTTAATTATTTCCATAAATAATAAAAATTCCAAAGGAATTCAATTTATTTAAAAAATTTTTAAAAATATCTTCGCAATAATTCAATTATTTTCATAAATAATAATACACGGAGAGAGAATATATATTAAATTTTGTAAAAATATTTTCAAATTGGGGAAAAAGTGCGACAAAGCGAAATTTTGATATCAAAAAATACTAAACTTTAAAAAAACTTATGTGAAATTTAGTATAATTATATCAAATATCAAGAATATTAATTAAATTCTAATATAACTTTACTAAATTTCATATAAGTTTTTTTAAAGTTTAGTATTTTTTGATATCAAAATTTCGCTTTGTCGCACTTTTTCCCCAATTTGAAAATATTTTTACAAAATTTAATATATATATTCTCTCTCCGTGTATTCATTACAAGAATTCTATTATTTTCAAAAGTAATAAAATTGTTTGCAGAAATTCAATTATTTTCAAAAAAAAATTTTTTAAATTTTCATCTAGATTTCAATTATCTTTATATATAAATTGAAAAATTCTTCGCCGAAATTGAAGTATTTTCAAAAATTATAATCAAATTCATTGGAAAAGTTCAATTATTTTCAAAACTTTTTCTCAGTTCAATGATTATAAATTATAAATATCTACTATTTTAATCAAATTTCCCAAAGTAATAATTATTTAAAAAAATTTTTGATAAAATTCTGTACGAACATTCAATTATTTTCTAAAATAAAAAAAATTTCACTGGAATTCAATTAGGTATTGTTAAAAATAGAATTTGCATACATTTTTTTTGAAAAAAATATTGTTTAAAATTTTTTTTTTTTAAATTCTTCCCGCTATAATTCAATTATTTTGATAAATATTAATAGTTAGAGTTGTGCAAAAAGCTCGAGGCTCGAGGCTCGAGCGAGCTTTTTCGAGCTTTTCATTTTTCGGGCCGAGCCGAGCCGAGCCTAATCAGTTCGAGCTCGAGCCGAGTTCGAGCCGAGCCGAGCTGTGTAAAAAGCTCGAATAGTTTCGAGTACTCGAGTTAATTCGAGTACTCGAATTTTTCGAGCACTCGAGGGAATTCGAGTACTCGAATTTTTTCGAGCTCTGAGTAAATTCGAGTTCTAGAGAAAATTCATAGAATTTTCGCATTTATTATATTTAGCAAATAGAAATATTGATTCAGTAATTCAAAAAAATTCGAAATTTTTTACTTATTAATAGTTTTTTTAGTAAGTCAAAAGCTCGAATCCATTCGAGTACTCGAAAAATTCGAGTACTCGAATTCACTCGAGTGCTCGAATTTAATCGAGTACTCGAATTTACCCGAGTACTCGAATTTTTCGAGTACTCGAAGTCACTCGAGTACTCGAAAATTTCGAGTACTCGATACATCGAGCCGGCTCGGGCTCGGCTCGGCTCGGCCCGAAAAAATTTCGGCTCGGCTCGGCTCGACTTTTCGAGCTTTTTGCACATCTCTATTAATAGTATATTACGATACTAGGCCAGAAAGTTGGATTTCCTGGCCGGCGTGATATATAAGGCCGAGGCGAAGCCGAGGCTTTATATATCACGCTCGCTAGGTTATCCAAATTTCTGGCCGTGTGTCGTATACAATTTTTCTGTATCCCCAGCCGAAAGTACGTTAAATAATTATTGTTTGAATAATAAAATAGCTGAATAAGTTGCCCGCCCGACTTTTGCAAAGTCGAGGCGAAGCCAAGACTTAGCTGGTCGGGGCGGGCATGAAAAAAAATTATAAGTAAAAAATAATTGGAAGTAAAATTTAAAAAATAGTAAACAAGAAATTTTCTTTTACAAATAAATATTTAATAATATACAAAATATAATAATAATAAATAAAAGAAAATAAGAAATTTCATGCATTATTTTGATGACTGTCAGTTGTTTTCAAAACGTGAGCTCTGTAAGTAACGTGTTTGTGTGGTTGCTATGCTAACATGTACGTGTGTTGAAATTCTTGTAACCAATCAGAGCGCTCGTTGGGTCTGTCGAGCCGGCCACAAAAGTCGCTATTCCCGGAGCCAAATCAGACCGGGAAGACAGTACTTTCGGCAAAGGGATACAGAAAAATTCTTTTCAAAGATTTAATTATTTTCATAAATAATACAATTATTCTAAGGATTTCAATTATTTTCATAAATATTAAAACGCACCATAGAATTACAATTATTTTCAGTACAATTTAAATTGAATTCTTCAAAAGAATTCAATTATTCTTCAAAATTCTATTAAAATTCTTTGAAAGGATGTAATTATTTAAAAATTTGTTGATAAAATTCTTTCTGAGAATTAAATTTTGAGAAACATTCAATTATTAAATAAATCTTTGAAAATTTGAATTTTTTTATACTTTTAACTAACAATTTTGCAGATCGAATTTTTTTTGAAAAAGTTTACTTGAATTTTTTTTAAAAATTATTTCAAGTTTTTATTTTCAAATATATATATAATTATATATATTTAATAAGAATTTCCGAATAATCGAAACTTTGTAAAATTGAATTGTAAACAATAATGGATTTGAAAATTCTCAAAGAACTTTATCAAAAAGTATTAAAAATAATGAATGCAAACAATAATTTTTGTTAAAAACACTAAAAAAAAATTGAATTTTTGAGAAATTAGAAATAATTGCAGATATTTAGTTATTTTCAAAAGTAATAAAATCCGTCAAAGAAATTCAATTATTTAAAAATTTTTTGATAAAATTCTGTATGAGAATTCAATTTCAAGAAACATTCAATTATTCAATAAATTATTTATTTTTGGATTTAAATAATTGAATTTTCGTAGAATTTCCATAACAAAAGTTGATTCAAAAATGAATATCAGTTAACATTTGAATTGTAATTGAATATTTAAAAGCATTATAGCGTGAATTTTTAGAAATAATTTAATTTAGAAAAGATTTCAAATTAAAATCTTTGAAAATTTGAATTTTTCATACTTTTTAAGTAACAATTGTGTAGAAATAATTTTTTTGCGAAAGTTTTATTGATTTTTTTTTGTATAATTATTTCAAGTTATTATTTTTTAATTTATATTTAATTGAAGAATTTCGGAATAATTGAAATTTCTTAAAATTGAATTCTAAAGAAGCAGGATATAAAAATTCTCAAAGAACTTTTTAAAAAATTATATTAAAAATAATTTAAATTTTAATTTAATTTAAAGAAAAAAAAAAGTTAGTTAAAAATTGTAGAAAATAATAATTAAATTGAAATGATAAATAATTTTGAAGAAGTTACAGTAACAATATTCTTATAAAATAAAATAATATGAATTTGAATTTTCCCATAATTAATAATGATTTTATTCCTACTCATCGGTCATTTTTAATTATTATAGGTTGTTGAATTTCAAAGAGGTTTGAATTTGAAATTTTTGAAAATCTGAATTTCTATTGAAAAATAATAATAATTAAATATTTATTTAAACAAAGAAGTTATTGATATTTTCGAATAATTTTACAATTAAAAAAATTCGTAAATAAATGTAATAGAACATTTTTTAAGCATCTAATAATTTTTAGAATGAATTAGAATATTCTTTATTAGGATCAGGGAAAAAGTCAAAATTTGGTCTGGAAATCAGGGAAAAATCAGAGAAAAAGAAAATTAAATTTTTGTGGCACTTATTATTATTATTATTTGTAAAAAATAATATTAAATATTAATTATATAATTATTATTATATTATTATATAATTATATATTATTATATATTATTATTATTATTATATTATTTATTATTATTATTTAATTATATTAATATTTTTTGATAATTTGACCTAGAATTGCTCCACTCATTTCTTGACTCCGGACGATTTCTGTAATGTTAATTATGGTTCTTTTTTTGTTTCAGCATCGAATTCAGTTTAATGACGAGGCCACTAGGACCTTCGAATATCCAAGTGAAGTTTCAATGCTTGAGCTTGAGGGCGATGGGTCCAGTGTAGATGGTGAAACTTCCGGTTCCGGTGAACAGTTTTCGAGCAACAACACTAGACCATCAACTAGTTTACCTTCATTACTAGGCAAGTTACCATTTCCAGATTATTCTCACACATTCTATTATTACTTCATTTCTATAATTTATATACTTTAAAAGTATTCACTAAAAACTTGTTTCTTCCTATACTTTTATAGTAAAACCTAGTTTTTTAATTTTCTGCTAAATTTTACTATTTTCTATTGGACTATTAAATTTTACTATGTCTACAATAAATTTAAATAATTATTACTGAAATTTACTTCAGATATAGTAACTAATAATAGTAACTAATTTGAATTAGTAAAAAATGTTTACTAATTTGAATTAGTGACTGACTTTTTGCTTTTGAATTAGTAACTTTTACTAATAAATTAGTAGACATTATTATTTATTAATAAAATTTTCTAATTTAAAAGGCCAAAAGTCAATCACTAATTCAAATTAATAAACATTTTAGAGAAAAGCTGACAAAAATTACAGATGAGTTAGGTTTTACTTTGGAGGTGGTTAAAGTTACTTTTATATTTTTTCGTATCCCGGTAAGAAGCGAGGAATAGAGAATAATTAAATTACTAGAAAATTTGCTTAAAAGCGACGATATTTTTTTTCTTTTTTTTTAATAGAAAAGGAACCTGAAAATGATGACGATGACGAAAACGAATCCATAATGTCTACTTCTCAAGCTTTAACCTTTAACTTCAGTAAACGTTTTAAGGCGTTACTTATCTTAATTTATTGAATGACAGTGCAGATAGATTTCAAAAATTAAATTACATTGAAAATGTTATTATTTCTAATTCGTCAAAATCGTTATTTGGTGGTAAATCAATTCGGGAGAATAGAAATTTAACTAATTTGTTTTACTACTCATTCTTTTGAATGCGTGTTTGAAATTTCTACCAGGTCATTTGAAAAGAATATAGATTTAAAAATTTTTTTTCACCTCATCGTGCAATAGAATCACGAGGTAAATTCCCTCATTCAAAATAATTCAAATCGTAAACTCTTTTCCAATTCTTCGCTTCTTACTGGGGTAATAATTTTAAAACTCCACATATATTTTTTTTTAATTTAAACTAAATTTTTTAAATTTTGGTTAAAAGAACAATATTCTTGTTTTTTTTTTATTTTATTTTTTATTATTTATTTTATTTTTATTACACGATAAATTTATATTCTTTCGAAGCATCCTGACTATTAATGAAACTTGGTATTATTCTATTTATTGGTATAAAGTTTCAGAAAATCGCCCTTTTTAGTAAAAAATAATTTATCAGATGTAATGTTAATTATAAATTGTCTAAACTAAACGATAAGAGTATGTGGTCAAAAAAGTCATGTACATGATTGCTGCAATGTAATTAATCGAGTATTTTCGTAAAATATAAAATAAATTAAGTTGTCATTTTACGAAAAAAAAATGTTAAAGTTGATCAGGGAAATCAGGGAAAAGTTAAAGATTTTTATTAAAAGTACTGGAAAAAATTAAATATTTAAAATTTATAAGAAAATTCTGAATTTTTGTGTCTTTTTTGTTTGCCTCATAAACTATAAAATTACCACGAATTCTAATACAAAACCTTCAATTTTTTCTATTTCTGACAATAATTTCTTTTTAAATAACTTAAATCTTGAACAACTATAATAAAATAAATAAATTATTTAATGAATAATTTTACTAAAATATTTCAAAATTAATTCAATTTTAAAAGAGTTGCGTTCATAATTATTATCATAAATAGATGAAAAGGTTTTAATTTGAAATTTTAGAAAATTCCAATTTTGAATAAATTTAATTAGAAATTTTAAAGAACTTAGATTTCTGAAAAATTTAAATAATTTTTGAGAAGTACAAATAATTGCAGAAATTAAATTATTTTCAAAAGTAATAAAATTCTTCGCAGAAATTCAATTATGTTCCAAAATTTGACGAGAAAACATTCTCGTCAAAACTTGAATTATTTTTATAAATAATAAAATTTTTCCCAAAAAAAGTATTTTCAAAAAATTTAATAAAATTCTGGACAAAATTTCAATTATTTCCAGAAATTTCAATCAAATTCTTTACAAAAATTCAATTATTTTTATAAATAACAAATTCTTCTAGGGAATTAAATTTTTTCAATATTCAACTATAATAAAATTTCTCGCCAAGATTCAATTATTTAAAAGAAATTTAATAAAATTCTCCAATAGAATAATTCAATAATGTATTATTTTCAAAAACTTTTATAAAATTCTTTATGAATAATGCAAATAGTTTCAGAATAATTTTCACTAAATTCCAGTAATTAATTGAATTATTTTCTAAAATTTTAATATAATTCAGCGCAGAAATTCAATTATTTTCAAAAATTTTTATTAAAATTCTTGTCAAAAATTCAATTATTTTAATAAATAACAAAATTCTTCGCTGGAATTCAATTATTATCATAATTTTTAGTAAAATTCTTTGCAAAAAGTCAATTATTTTCAATATAATTTTCATAAAATTTCTCAACAAGATTCAAATATTTTAAAATTTTTTTATGAAATTCTTAAAAACAATTCAATTATACTTTAAAAAGACTTTAATAAAAATTTGTTTAAAACGAATTAAATCATTTTCAATTTTAACCAAATTTATTTAAAGAATTGAATTTATTCAAAAATTTTAATATAATTCAACGCAGAAATTCAATTATTATCAAAAATCTTAATTAAATTCTTCTGAAAAATTCAATTATTTTTCAAAAATTTTAACAAACTTTGTCGCAAAAATAATTCAGTTATCTTCATACATAACAAAACTCTTCCCAGGAATTCAATTATTTTCAGTTCAAAATTTTACCAATTAAATTATAATAAATTATGATTTTTACTTTTATGAGAATTGAATTTTAAGAAACATTCAACATTGTTCAATAAATTATTTATTTTTATATTTAAATAATTGGATTCTCGTAGAATTTTCCAATAAAAATTGATTTTAAAATGAATTACAGTTAAAATTTTAGATAATAATTGAATATTAAAAACATAGCGTGAATTTTTAGAAATAATTGAATTTTGAAAAAGTTTCAAATTCAAATCTTTGAAAATCAGAATTTTTCATACTTTTAACTAACAATTCTGTAGAATTAATTTTTTTCAAAAACTTTAACTGAATTTTTTTTAAATTATTTGAAGTTCTTATTTTCTAAAATAAATTTAATATTGAAGAACTTTCAAATAGTCGAAACACGTAAAATTGAATAATTGTAAACAAATGGATTTGAAAATTCTTAAAAAGAACTTTTTAAAAAATTATTAAAAATAATTGATTTAGAGGAGAATTTTAGTTAAAAATTGTAGAAAATAATAATTGAATTGAATTGATGAAAATAATTTCGTTGAAGTAACAGTAACGATATTCTTATAATATAAAATAATGATTTCATCACTCGGCCGTCTTTAATTATTATAAATTATTTAATTTCGAGGGGTTTAAAATTTGAATTTAAAATTAATTGAAGAAATTTATTTTTTTGTAAACCAGTTTACTAGTTAAATAAAATTGAATTAAAGAAATTCGTAAATAAATGTAATAGAACATTTTTTGAGTATATCTAATTATTTTTAGAGTGAATCAGAATATTCTTTAGGGTCAGGGAAAAAGTCAAAATTTTGTTTGGAAATTAGGAAAAAATCAGGGAAAAACAAAATTAAATTTCTGTGGCAAACCTGTTTTTATATTATTTTTTAGAAAACACTTGAGAATTGATTTTAGAAAATGAGGTTAAATTGGGTTAAATGTAACTTCACTGTTCGGGTTTTCTCATAATTTTCAAGTATTTTACAATATTGAATTTAAAAAATATTACATTTTTGTCCGTCACTCCCTTTTTTAATCGTTTTTTTAGACTTTATTTACTATTGTGAAAATAATTTACAAGTTACTAAGAGTATTCGACAAATTAACCATTGCATTGATCAAGTGACTATTAAGCTACATTTAAGTATAGACAAATTTTGTTTTTATGATTCTTTTTCACCGCATCACTATTTTTATTTTTCCACAATAATAAATTATAATTCTTTTCTTTCTCAATATTGAAATTTTTTACAGAAGTGTCTCTAAAATATCGCTCTCTAAAAAGTGCCAAAATACCTCGAGCTTTCGTTGAGTTTGATCCTGTAAAGGAATCATTGGTCTAACTGCTTGGTCACATCTCTCGACTTTCTGTAATTTCGCAAGATTTCTAAAATTTCTAGCTAGAAAACTATATAGCAATTCTAGTATTTTTTTTTCTTCTTTTTATTGCATTTGCTTTATATCCTTAGTCACAAGCTTGTTTCTTGGACTCTCACTAATTTTCTTTTTAACTAGTTTTCAAACTCACTCCTTAATTAACTTTTATATCGACAGCACTTAACAATAATTAAAGGAATTTTCCAAGAAGAAAAAAATGCACTCTAGAGTTCTTGACAATAATTTTCAATAGTAAAAAAAAATATTACCTATATTAAAAATAAATAATATAGAATAGTACGTTTCCTTTATGATCGGGAGTTGGGTAATAATCTTCGAAAAGAAAGGTTGATACTGAATTTATGTAATGGTGAAATCGATCTTAAATTAGAGTTTTGTCTTTAAATTGATGCATAATATTTATGATTAATTTCTTGTCGTTTCTTTTTTGCTTTATGTAAATTTATGTAATGTCCGTGAATTCAGCGAATATTCGTATTTGCGACAGTTGTGTCTAAGTCGATTTTTAATAATTTTTGTTTAAATCGCAGTTAAATGGTATTTGAACCAATAACTTCAGTATTTGAAGCTGGACTCAAATGAATTTTTTTCAGTGAATCAACCCTCAATTTTTGCAATTAAAAAAAATTTTTCAAAAAATATATGTATAACAATTATAAAATGGTTGAAATAATCATTTTTTCAAAGTAATTTGATTTCTTTTATGAAACTACATTTTTTAAACATTATTTTGTCGATTCAATTCTGTACTAAATGTATTAGTGTTTATATTATAGGTATCGTTAAATTTTGTCGTCTGACCCTTAAAAATGAGTGTTTAGAAATGTTGTTTAGAAGGTATTTTTTGAAAAAATTTATATTTTTGAAATATTTTTGAAAAAATATATTGAAAAACTTAAAATTAAATATTTATGATGTGTGTAAAATATTAAAGAATAATTGTCAACCTTTCGAAATATATATACAGACTTTGGATCGACTTTAAGGCTAAAAAAAGTTTAATTAATTAATTGAAGTCTGTAAAAAGAAATTTTATTAAAATTTCATTGAAAACAGTTGAATTCTTCTAAAGAATTTTGTAACTTATCAAAATACATATTCAATTCTTGCAACAAATTTTATTAACATTTTTGAAAATAATTGAATAGTTTTAAAGAATTTTATTAAAAACTTTCAAAAATAATTCAAAGGAATTTTTTTAAAATTGTTTAAGATAAATGAATTCTGTAAAAAGAAATTTTATTGAAATTGTAATAAAAATAATTGAATTGTTAATTAGTTTTTTCGAATTGAATTTTAAAAATTTAATTTTTTTAGTTAAAAATACACGGACTTCAGATGCCCATTCGTACAAAAACTCTTAAAGTAGTTTATAGAAAAAAATTTTTTAAAATTCTAAGATAGTTTTTTAACAATTTATTGTAATATAATTTTTTGAAAAATAATTGAAAATAATCAAATTTTTTAAAAATTACAATAAAAAAGTTTTAAGAATTATTGTTAAACGGGATTATTTGGTTAATTTTTGCTAAAAATTTACTCACCGATTTATTTTCTTCAAATTGCCTTTAAACTGGCCTCTTACTTTTTAAAAAAATATTTTTATTTTTAATATAATTTTTTGAAGCTAATTTTCATTAATTTTAATTTTTCATTTTGTAGATTTTTTTTTAAATTTTGAGAATTTAATATTATTTTCAATATTTGCCATTAAAATTCTTCAAAATTTTATTTTTGCAAAAATTTTAATGAATCACATGAAAAAATCAATTATTTTCATTAAAATTCCGCAGTAATTAAATTATTCAAAAACTTTCTATATTTTTCATAAAAAAAAAATGAGGTCTTGAATTTTTAATTAGGTGCCTACTTTATTTGAAGATAATTATTTTCTAAAAGACTATAATAAAACAATTCTAAAATTTAGATTTGAAAAAATATTGTTATTTTTCGAAAATAATTACATTTCTTAAAAGAGCTTTTGTCAATTTACAAAATTAATCAATTTTTTTCAAGAATTGTTATAAAAAATTTCAGAAATTATTGATTTTTTCAAAATTATAATAATAATTCTAAAAAAGTACATTTTTAAAAATAATAATCTAATTTGAAGATATAAAATTCTATTTTAAAAAAATTATAAAAAATAATTGTAAAAATTAGATTTTAAAAAATATTGTTATTTTAAAAAAAAATCGAATTTCTTAAAAGAACTTTTATCAATTTAAAAAACTGATTCAATTCTTTTCAAGAATTTATATTAATATTTTCGTAAATTATTGATTTCTATAAAATTTTAATAATGATTCTAAAAATGTGTATTTTTCCCCAATATTAATTTACTAAATTTTACGGTAATTCTGTTTTAAAAATTTCTGAAAATTAGATTTTAAAAAATATTGTTATTTTTCGAAAATAATTGAATTTCTTAAAAGAACTTTTGTCAATTTAAAAAACTAAAGAATTTTTTTGAAGAATTTATATTACAATTTTCATAAATTATTGATTTTTCCAAAATTTTAATAATGATTCTAAAAAAAAGTTGATTTTTATAAATAATAATCTACTTTATTTGAAGATATAATTCTATTTTAAAAAAATTATAATAAATTAATTCTAAAAATTAAATTTTTTAAAAATACTGTCATTTTTCGAAAATAATTGATTTTTTAAAATTTGAATAATCATTATAAAAAAGCATATTGTCATTTTTCGAAAATAATTAAATTTCTTGAAGAATTTTCGTCATTTTCAAAAAATAATCAATTTCTTTAAAACTTTTATTAAAAATTTCAAAAATGATTGATTTTTCCAAAATTTTACTAATAATTCTAAAAATGTGAATTTTTCAAAAATAATTTTCTATATTTTAAGATAATTGTGTTTTGAAAATTTCTAAAAATTAGATTTTAAAAAATATTGTTACTTTTCGAAAATAACTAAATTTCTTTAATGAACTTTTGTCAATTAAAAAAAATAATCAATTTTTTTTGAAGAATTTATATGAAAATTTTCATAAATTATTGATTTTTCCAAAACTTTAATAATAACTCTAAAAAAGTGGATTTTTCAAAAATATTAATTTACTGTATTTTAAGACAATTCTGTTATAAAAATTTCTAAAAATTAGATTTTATAAAATTTTGCTATTTTTCGAAAATAATTGAATTTGTTAAAAGAACTTTTGTCAATTTAAAAAATTAATCAATTTTTTTAAAGAAATTTTATAAAAAATTTCAGTAAATAATTTAATTTCTTGAAAGAATTTTCGTAATATTCCAAAAATAATCAATTTTTTTATATTGTTATATTGTTATTTTTCGAAAATAATTGAATTTCTTAAAAGAATTTTTGTCAATTTAAAAAAATAATCAGTTTTTTTTTTTTTTTTTTTTTTTGAAGATTTTATATTAAAATTTTTATAAATTATTGATTTTTACAAAATTTTAATAATAATTCTAAAAAAGTGAATGTTTGTCAAAAATATTAATCTATATATTATTATTATCTATATATTTCAAAAATTTTATCATTTTTAAAATCTTCAAAAATAATTTTTGTAAAATTTGATTAGTTATTTTCACACACAGAAATATTGGAAATAAGTTGCATACCAAAAAAGTGGTATTTTTTTGCAATATATGGAAGAAGAGTCGAAAAAGTCGCAGTTTTTGAAAATAATCCGGCAAAGTCGTCTTTTTTTGAAAATAATCCAAAAAAGTCGTCTTTTTTTGAAAATAGTCGAAATAAGTCCAAAGCCTGTTAATATCCAAGGTCCGCATATATATATTTTACAAATATAGAAAAAATATTTTCGAATTATTTTTTTTTTTCAATGAATGATTTTCCCAATCCAATTTGTCTAAAAGGAAATTTTTTATTTCACAGGAGCAGGCGTGGGTGGAGTGGGAGGACTTGCAACCTATACACCGAGCAAGGTTGATTTAACTTCCGAAGGATTTGAATTAGGAGTGACTAGAGCGACTGTTTCAACACTTCCTTCGATGGCTACGACGGTGCAACCCGATAGTCTCACCGAAGAGGATTATCTGAAGCCAGCTCAAGATGCTGGAGCCTGGGGCTCTGAAACAACTGCGGATATGTTATTCTGACAATTCCAATCAGGCTCCTCTTTCATGAACTAAAAAGGCATTCTAAGGATATTGTTTGAGAGAAAAAAAAAAAATATTACTTCTGAATAAAGAAGCCTTACTTCTTGCTCACTAAACTTCTTTAAGTTAATGCCTTTAAAGCATATACATAAAACGAATGTCGATATAGTAACATTTAGAGAGTCACATCATACATATTAAAGTAAAGAAATTCCACAGGGAGGCGACAAAATTCATCGTGAAACAACGACTGGAATGGGTTCTTTGGAAAATTAACGGAAAAGCCAATGAGAAAAATTCTCACAAATAAGATTCCATTTTTCTTTTTAATTTAACTTTTCATTCAAACGTAAATTCGAATTTACAGCGAAAACAAAATTTATCTGATTCAAATAACCGTTCATTTGTCTGTAATCAAATAAATATTTACTCGATTCCAATGATTTTTATTTAATTAAAATTAAACATATTTGAACCAATAATTTTGGTATTTGAAGCAAATAGGTACAATTTAATTGACTCAAATAAAAATTATCTGATACAAGTAAATATTTATTTGATAATAGACGAGCAAAAATTCATTTGAATCAAATAAATATTTTTTCAGTGTAAATATATTATTTTTAAATAATTTAATAGTTTATTATATATTTTTTTTATTTGTTACATATTTAAATATTTATTCGTCTATTTAAAATTTTCTAAAAGGTAAAATTTTGAATAAAAAAAAAATTTGTTAATTAAAAAATTAAACAGTAAAAATAAATAAATTTAATTTAAATTCTCAAAAAGAAAATTCGATTCAACCAGAAAAAAACAATTGAAAAAATATTTTTTTGTGCAAAAAATATTCTATTTTTGTATTTATTTTCATTAGAGAATATAAAAAAATATTTCTTTCTTTTTTAAAGAAAAGAAGTTTTTCAAAATTTCAAATACAACAAAATTATTCCATAATCTCAGTGTTTTAGGAAATACATTTAATTTTCCAGAGGACTCACTTTGAAAATGCGTTTAAATTAGAGGCTTTGACGTAATGTTATACGCAAAAGTTTATTAGATAGATAAGGAAAAACGATATCATTCCAAATCTGCATTTACTTAATTTCGTTTTTTTTTTATATTGCGAAACACGTAAATCCTTTTTACGTAATGCGATAAAAGGAAGAGAAAAAAAAACTGCCAGTAATTAAGACTTTATAATGTATACTGTAGGATAAATTATCACACGAAAAAGCCACTAATTAATCTTCCAAAATGAAAAAAAAGGGAACGCATATCATTTCATTTTCATTTGGCGAATTTTCCGGACCAAGCGGATCATCTTAGTAATTTAGAAAAACTTTTTGAGATTACTCTATATATATATAAACCAAAACTGCAGTTTTATGCATAAAAAAATAATGAAAACTTTTTTAGACAAATTAAAACAATTTTCTATAATAGGTAATTTTCAAATTAAACATTTAAAAAAAGGATTAAAACAGAAACATAATAGTAAAGGAATTTGTAAAATTTTTTGCCAAAATAGGGCGTAAGACTAGTATTTATAAAATATACACAATTTAACGACAGTATAAAAAGAATAAAATCTTTTTGACCACATTGAAAATTATATAAGAATTGTAAATGCGAAAATTGAAAATTTTATTCCAAGCGCGTTATGCCAAAGTGTCTCCCATTCACGGTGAACAAAAATGAAAAAAAAGAAGAAGAATCGTTGGAGCTGGGCATTAATAAAACTTTAATGAAAACATTAATGACATTAGTTTACAAATGTTTTCTTCATGTTGGGGACAATCGTCGAAATGTATTTTTAGGCTAATTTTTTTCTAAACTAATTCGGTGAAAACGAAAATGCACCAAGAATTTTTTCAAAGAAATATTTTTGATTGACAAAAGAAAACCCGTTTTTTGGTTCTTTTTTCAGGAAATATCGAAAATGGCAAGTGGAACGAATGTAAAATTGTTAGGATTTGAAAAGAACGTTATTTTTCTTGATGACTTGCTTATATGAATATTTTTGGTTTATCATTGCTGAAAATAAAGAAAGGGATTTTTAAAAGTTTTTCTAAAATTTACGCGCATTTTTTGCTTTTAATAAAGAAGCAAAAATTGCGCGTAAATTTCAGAATTTTTAAAAAATATTTTTATACGTGAAAAATAATTTTAAAAAATATTATTTTTTCTTAACTTCCTGATTTCCGTGTAAAGGAAATTGAACAAATAGAATAATAAATAAAAAATAAATAAAAAACCTATTTTTTGAAATTATTTTTTACATACAATTATAAAAGTATTTAGAAAAATTTTTTATATGACTTATTAGAAGAAATAAATGCGCGTTAATTTCAGAAAAACTTTTAGTTTAAACCAAAAACCAAAAAAATACCAATAATACATCGTCTTAATGAAAATAACGTTCTTTTCAAATTCCAATAATTTTATATTCGTTACACTAACGATTTGCAATATTTCTTCAGCAATAACTGAGAAACGAACCGAAAAACGTTTTTTTGGTCAATTTTCTCAAAAATTGCTTCTTTGGAAAAATTTTTAATAATCTGGGATGCGTTCACGTAACTTTCACTTTCACTAAAAAATTTTCACTTTTAATTTTCTTTAAAATTTTTTAAGTTCATTAAAAAATATTTTTACTTTCAATTGAACCCAAAAAGACTGTCACTTAAAAAAATATGTTCACTTCCACTTGAAAAATTTTGAATTTTGAAGTGAAAGTGAAAATTTTGTGAGTAAAAGTAAAAATTTGTTGAGTGAAGGTGAATATTTTTTAGGGAAAGTAAAAATTGTTTAAGTGAAGTCGAAATTTTTTTAGTGTAGGTCAAAAATGTTTTAGTGAAAGTGAGAATTTGGGTTTTTAATGAATGTGAAAATTTTCTGAGTGAAAGTGAAGAATTTTAGAAAAAATGAGAATTTTTTAAATAAAATTGAAAATTTTTTATGTAAAATAACATTTTTTGAGTGTTTGTAAATATTTTTTGAGTGATGCCAAATTGTTTTTAGTGAAAGTGGGAATTTTTTTAAGGAATGTGAACATTTTTTGAGAAAATTTGGGAGACAACTTTTTGAGTGAAAACGAACTTTTTTGGATAAAGTCAAAATTTTTTTATTAAAAGTGACAAGTTTTTTCGCTTTTATTAAAAAAATTGTCACTTTCATTAAAAAAATTTTGACTTTTAATCAAAAAATTCTTATTTTCACTTTCACTCAAAAAATTGTCACATATATTAAAAAAGTTCTCACTTTTACTAAAAAAAAAATTTTGACCTTCACTAGAAAAATGTTGAATTTTACTCAAAAAAAGTTTAGTTTCACTCAAAAATTATAACTTTCTTTGAAAAATTCTTTCTTTTACTTTTATTCAAAAACATTCCACTTTCACATTCACTTAAAATAATGTTTAAATTTATTAAAAAAAGTTCTCACTTTCACACAAAAAAATTTATTTTCCCTAAAATATTCTCAATTTTGATGAAAAAATTTTTACTTTCATTAAAAAAAATTCTGTTTTACTCAAAAAATTATCACTTTCACTAAAAAAATTTTACTTTCATTCAATAATTTACCATTTTCATTTTCACTTAAAAAATTTTCATATTTATTAATAAAAAGATTCTACATTCCCTAAAAAATTGTCACATTCACTCACAAAATTTTCACTTTTATTCAAATATTGTTATTTTTACATAAAAACTTCTCACTTTCACTCAAATAATGTTCACTTTGACCCAAATTATTTTCACTTTTACTTGAAAAATTTTGGAATTTTGAAGTGAAAGTGAAATTTTTTTGAATGACAGTGAGAATTTGTGGGTGAACTCAAAAGTGAAAAGTAAAGATTTTGAATGAAAGTGAAAGTGAAAAATTTTTTAGTTAAAAAATAAACATTTCCAAAATGGTACCCATGTCGAAAAAATTTGTTAACTAATGTAAACAAGAATAAAATTAATGAATGAGAGAAAAAACGATAGACAAGTTAAACTATTAGAAAGTTTAAATTTAAGAAAAAAAAGAAATAAAAAAATATAAAAAATCTTTAAATTATCAATTGTTATAGTATTGAGAAAATTTTTTGAAAATCACTTTCAAATAAATAATATTCAAATAAATTGAAAATATTATTTGAAAAAAAAAGAAATTAAGAATAAAATGATGAGAAATTAATTACTCGTTGCCAGAGTATTGCCCAGCTCTTTAATTACTCCAAAACCGGTTTACTAATTGTGTTAAAATTATTATCCATGAATTATATATATTTATATACATTTGAAAATAATGAGAAAAATGAGCTTTTAAAGTTCATCGCGTATTAAATTGATTAATTTTAAGTGAATCTAATTTGTATATATTAAATTATTATTGCTATTATTATGATTATTATTATTATTATTTACAAAGTCGAAAACTAAAACAGTGCTTTGCTTAATTTAGCGAGGTTTTAAAAAGAAAAAAGGGACTTGTGTGTGTATTTTTATTTTTCACTCTGTACGTCTGGGTTTTGGTCGGAAGACGAAACAAAATGTATTCATAAATTAGTATTTAAAGTGTGATTGAATCAATCTATATAATAATAAACGTATTTGTAATTTATTGAAAGATCCCGAACCGGGACCAACGAGTGTGAAGATTCGTTTTTTTGTATTTTTTCTTCGTGTGTATTTAATTGGATTCTTTGAAAAAAAAATGTATTTCCACGTATAATCGGTTCGACGGGTCTTAGTCATTGTGATGTACTGTTTTCGTTGAAACCAGTTTCTATTTTTTTTTCTTTTTTTTCTTTGTTCGATATGTAGTCAGTAAATCAGACTCACAGCGTTAGCATCTTAATTGTGATATTTTTTTTTTTAAAATAATTTTTCAAATATAACGCAATGTGAAGCGAAACATTCCTCGAAAAAGTAGTTTGAAAAAAATCCTGAAAATTGCTGAGTAAATATTAATTATTTTTTTGTTTTTTTTGTAAGCAATTGGATAAATTGGATTTTGAAGTTATTTTTTTTACTTGTTTCGTTGTAATTTCTTCTACGATCTCTTTGCTTTTTATCGCAAGGAGTGATTAATTTTTCTTTTGTATAAATTATTATTGTCCAGTGTCAAGGAGACTTGACTGTGTATTTTTTTTTCGCGAAAACTGGTGAACCACAATCCAAATAAACGATAGATTTGAAAAGAAATATAATATTAATCTATAATAAAGGGTTAATATTCAAAGCTTGGAATCATAATATCATATTAAATATTCTTACCAGTTAGAAATATTGAATGTTGTATCGTCTGTGTGTTATGAAATACTGAATAAATAAAAAAAATCACTACGTACAACATATTCTTGACTTTCTATTTTTGATTTGAAAATTTCCATACAATTTTCTGTAGTTTATATTTTTATTTTATCCTACTTAGGCACCTGTAGCATAAATTTTTTGCTAAACAACAATTTTATAAAATATGTTAGGATATTTAAGTAATGAAATTCATCAGTTTGATTAAATTTTAAATTTCTCCAGACATTTTAATTTTAGTTTATTTTAAGTAGAGTTTAGTAAGTAGAATTTTTTTTTAAAAATTCCAAATAAATTAAATTAATAATTTAATTAATTTAATTAATTTTTTGAAAATTATTTTTATAATATCTAATAATTAATCATTATTATTATTTTTACTAGTAAATATTACACGCCAAACGCTTTATTCGATTTCTCATTATCCTGAAAATAAAATTTTTTATTTTTAAATATCAAATTCAAATTTTGAATAATTTCAGATTAAAAATTTGACAATTTTATTCATAAATAATAAAATTCACACGCAGGAGTTCAACCATTTTAAATATAATTTTAATAAATTTCTTGAAAGAATTCAATTATTTAAAAAAATTTTTTAATAAAATTCAAGCAAAAATTAAATTTTTATAAAAAACAAAATTCTTTAATTTTGTTTTTATTTTCAATACAATTTTAATAAAATTACTCGCAGAAATTCTATTATTTTCATAAATAATAAACTTTTCGCAGGATTTTAATTATTTAAAATACAATTTTTATGAAAATTATTATTCAAAAGAAATCAATTATTTAAAAATTTTTTTTCATAAACAAATTTTTTTTTGCTTATATTTATTTTATAAATTAAATAATTTAATTATTTTCAATTCAGTTTTTATTAAATTTTTTCGAAAGTTTTAATTATTCTCAGAAATTCTATTATTTTTTCAAAAATTTTAATAAAGGTCATCGAAGAATTAAATTATTTTTATTTAAATAATAAAATTCTTCAAAGGAATTCAATTATTTTAATAAAATTTTACAAAAGAACGAAAATTTTCCATTAGTTTTAAAAATTTTTTAAAAAATTCTTTATAGTAATTCAATTATTTCAATGTAATTGTAATTGAACAGAATTAAATAAATTTCAAATAATAAAATTCTTCGAAAGAATTCAAATATTTTCAAAAATTTAATAAAATTCAAATGCATTCAATTTTTAAAAATTTTAATAAAATTCTTCAGAAGAATTCAATTATGTTCAATAATTTCAATAAAACTTTTTAAAAGAATTCAATTTTTAAAAATTTTAATAAAGCTTTTAGCAACAATTCAATTATATTCATAAGTAATAAAATTTTTGTGAGGAATTCAATTATTTTGAAAAATTATTTACAGATATTAAATTATTTTCAAAAATTTCAATAAAATTCATCGCAAGAATTAAATTTTTATTCTTTTCTTAGATAATAAAATTTTTCGCAGAAATTGAATTATTTTTAATACAATATTAAAAAAAATTCTTTCTAAGAATTTAATTATTTCAATAAAATTTTAAACAAATTCTTCGAAAAATTCAATTATTTTCAATAATTTTAATAAAACTTCTCAAATGAATTCATTCAATTTCTAAAAATTTAATAGAATTCTTCGAAAAATTCAATTATTTTCCATAATTTTAATAAAATTTCTTTAAAGAATTCGATTATTTTTAAAAATTTTATTAAAATTCTTTTTAATAATCCAATTATTTCAATATAATTTTAATTAAATTTCTCGAAATAGTTCAATTATTTACAAAAATTTAATAAAACTCTTCAAAAAAATTCAATTATTATTTTCACTAAATCCAATAAAAATTTTCGAAAGAAATCAATTTTCAAAAATTTGAATAATACTCTTTGTAATAATCCAATTATTAAAATAATCCTATTATTCGCAGAAATTGAATTATTTTTAATACAAAGATAACAAAATATATTCTTTATAAGAATTCAATTATTTCAATAAAATTTGAATTGCATTCCTCAAAATAATGTAAATTATTTTCAATTATTAAAATTTTCCGAACCAATATTCAATTATTTTCCAAAAATTTAATAGAATTCTTCCAATTAATTTAATGTTTTTAGATGCAAATCATAACATTTTTAAAAAATTTAAATCTTTTACTTATTCTCTAAATTTAAATTAGTAAAAATTTTATCTAATTAGAACAAGTGTTCAAAAATTTCTAAAATAAATTATTTTTCTAATTTTACATAGTGTTCTATGAAGAATTAGAAAAAAAATAAAATCCAATTATTTTGTAAAATAAATAACATTAAATGTATTTTGCATTAATAAAAAATAGTTTTTCTACAATAATTTTAAGGTAAACTATTTTTATTTTTTTGAATGCAAAATTAAATTTACAATTTAAATTACGATTTTTAATTCGAAACAATTTTGTTTTATTCAATCTTAAAAATATATTAAATTTTTTTGTACCAATTAGAATTTTCTTTGTAGCAAAAAAATGCATTAAAATGTTATTTATAGACACTATTGTATCAATTATATTCAAGAATAATTATAATATTAGATAATAAAATTCAGGGAAAATATTATTTAAATAAAATAAGTTATTTTTGTCTGCTTTGCCAAAGTTGAAAAATTCAAAGATTAAAATATTTATATTTATAAGATGGAAAGTCTAAATTTGAAAAAATTGACAATTATTTCTTTTTTTTAGAAATATATTTAAGATAAATACTGAATACCTTGGAAAAATGACTATATATTTATTCTTATAACAATATCTTATTTTTAATCCTTATAATACTAGACAATGTACAATTGAGTAAGAAATTACTTGTAGTTTTTTAAATAAATCTTAATGTTTTTTCTTTAACTTCCTAAATTATTATTTATATATAGAGGTATAATACTCTTCTTCTAAATCATATAAATCAGCAGCCATATCGTCTCTCAGAGAAGCCAATTTTTGATCACATTCCTGTTGCTTTGTTCTAAAGAGTTTACTGTTTTGTGTTATTGCTTCATTCACTGAAGGAAAATCATTGAGAATTAAATATTGCTTTATGTCCGATACTAATTTCATCAAGGATTCACCGGCTCTGACAATATTTGCCGCTCTCACGTGCATTTCAAATGTGTCCTGTTCGCATTGCGTCATTCGTGACAATTGTGTTTCATTATCTGTTTTGGCGAGTTTTACAATTTCTGTAAATAAAGATATAAACATTATTTGTTTTTTATTTAGCATTATAAAAAAAAAGCGTGGGTCTATTATTTAATATTCTCAACAATAATATTCATAATTTTCACATTACGTGAATTTCTAAAAAAAAATTAAAAATATTTCGTTTTAATAAATAACATTTAATAAAAAGATTTTTAGATTAACAAAAATATGTGTACTTAATTTGAATTTTTTATTTTATGTTTAAACATTTGAAACGAATATTTATATTCAAAAAGTTTCATTAAAATTGATGCGATATTCCAAAAATATTTTAATTAGTTCTTAAAGTTATCAACGAAATTTATTTATTTCTTCACAAATTAAAATTTTATTTTAAATACAATAAAAAAATTCGTTTATTTCAATATTTTGAACTTGTGGATCATATTTTAATCATTTCCTGTGAAATTTATTTGCGCTTCATTATTAAATGAAGCGCAAATTTCAAAAAAAGAAGACAAAAATTCTTCTATCAGGCTTCGTACTCGATAATTAATTTTAAAAAAGTAGCATAAAGACAGAAAAAAGTAGTAAAAAAGTAGCTATCGAAAAATTAAACTTGACGACTCAATTTTTTTTTATAATTTCTTAATTACATTAAAATAGTAATTCTTTCAAAATTCAATCATTTTTTCTTCTTGAAATTTATAAATAAAATTATTCAAAACTTTAATCATTTTATTTTATTCAATTCTAAATCAATTTTTATTAGAAATTTCTATAGCAGAATTCAATTATTCAAATACAAAAATAAATAATTTATTAAATAATTGAATATTTCTGAAATTTGAATTCTTATTTAATGAACTTTATCAACATTTTTTAAAATAATTAAATTTTTACGAAGAATTTCATTAACATTTTTAATAATAATTAAATTCATTCAAGAAATGTAATTAAAAATGAATCAACAATAATTATTACACTTTAAGAAACAAATTATAACAAATTTTTTTAAATAATTGAATTTTTTCCAAGAATGTTATTCAAATTTTTAAGAATAATTGGGTTTTTAGCGGAATTAATTTAAAATTATATTAAAAATAATTGAAATCCTGCGATGAGTTTTATTATTTATGAAAATAATCAAAATTTTTGTCACCGAACATTATTAAATTTATTAAAATAATTGCATTCTTGAAAAAAATTAAAAAAAATCTTTTTAAAGAAATTATTTTTTTTGAAAAATTTTATGAAAATTGTGTTTTAAATAATTGGATTTCTTTGAAAATTGTATATTATTTTTATGAAAATAATTGAATTCTTTTAAAAACTTTTATTAAAATTTTTAAGAATAGTTACATTTTTCGCGGAATTTATTTAAAGTTGTATTAAAAATAATGGAAATCCTGCGATGAGTTTTAAATTTATATAAGTTATTTAATTCTTGCAATAATTATTATTAAAATTTTAAGAAATAATTAAATTCCTGAGAAGAATTTTATTATTAATAAAAATAATCGAATTCTTGCGAAAAAGTTTTTAAAAACCATTTTAAATAATTGAATTTTTTCGAAAAATATTAGAAACTAATTTTTATTAATTTTCATTTTTAACTTTACATTTACAGATTTTTCATTAAAATTTTTAATAATTCAATTATTTTGAAAGTTTGCAATTAAAATTCTTCAAAAGTTGATTCACAAGTTCTGAACGTTTAAATAAACGAAATTTTCTTATCAGATTAGGAAAAAAAGTCAAAAATTCTTCTACAACAAAATTTATTTATAATTATTTACAACTAATATTTTTTAACAAAAGTTTTCTGCAAGTTTTAGAAAATTGTTAAAAACTCCGAAACATTGAGGTTATGTTTGCGTTCATTATACACATTGATAAAAATATAAAACAAACATTTTCAATTGAATTTGTTAGCTAAGAATTTACAATTAAACAATTTTTTGATAAACAAAAAAAGTTAAAAAAAGAAAATCGTACAGAGAAAAATTAGAATAATTTCTGTATTGTATAGAAAAACTCTCTTTTAAAAAACTGCGACAAGGATTGTTATAGAAATTGTTATTTAAGAAAAAAGTTATAAAAAATACACTTTAGAAGGAAAAATAGCAGGATTTTATTAATAATAATAAATTAAATCTTCTTAAAAATAAAGGTTAGAATTTACCTTCGTAATTCACAAGTATAGATTTCACATCATCTTTAAGCCTTGTCATGTAAGACTTTAACAAAGCTTCTTTACTTTGTGGATAAGCTCGCTGAGTTGTCATTTTAACTAAATATGTAGTATTTAAAACGCAATTAACAAATTTAAAATCCCTGAGGCAGAGTCGTCTCAATTTCTCTCTGTGTTTCTAAATCACTGACAGATCACGTGATCAAAATACAAACTCCAGGGTTGTATCGTTATAGCAGACGAACCAGGGCGGGGAAGATAAAACACAAAGAACGCATGCATTTTCAATAGAAAAAATGAAAAAAGCTTTAAGAGCCTTATGAAAATTATGTCAAATTCACAATTTCCATAAAAAATTCTCTATTTAAAATTTTTTGAATGTCAAAATCAAGAAGGCTAGAGACAGGAGGCGAAACTTCGGTAGTGGGGATGAGTCAAAACCCTTTTATTAACCAGGCGTTTTTCGTTTCGAAAAGTCGCCGGCGCGGTGCTTCTGCACATCACTCACACATTCAAATTCTTGTATACCATATGTTTTACATATGTGTATGATATGATTTTAATTTGAGGTTAACTTTAAAGTGCAATCAGTGCAATCGAGACACAATTGACAATGTGTGTCATAACGGATATATAGAAATAATGTGAGTGATTATTAAATTAAGTGTTATTCAAATAGTTAAAAATTCCGAAAACGTGCTGTGTGAAAAGTTGTAACAAGAAGCAAGATAAACCTACCCAACACTATGACTATTACTTTTTGTTAACTTTTAATACACTTCATGCTACAGTTTACACATTTTTTTGTTTTTAAAACGTTTTTTTAATAACTAAAAGATGTTTGAAAATATAAACACTTATATTTCATATTGTATTTGTATAGAATATATTTTCCTGTGTTTACGTGTGTAGCTGCGCAGAAGTCCGTGTGGTCTATTGCGGCGAAAACTTTTTTTGAAAGTAAACGCCTGACCATACATCAGCTGAGCGACTCAGCATTGCCATACCCCCACTACCGAAGTTTTACCTCCTGTCTCTAGTCTTCTTGGTCAAAATAAAAATATTTATACGTTATTTTATAAAAAGGGTTTTTTCAATAGAACAATATTTTCTATTCTTGTAAAATTGATTTTATTTCACAGCGCTGAGCGCATTTTGATTAAATAATCTAAATTATAAAATTAAAATGAACATAATTTTTACATAGTAGAAAAATTGTTACTAGGATAAAGGATTTCTAGTTTCTTATGGTTGGCGAACCTGCTTCCGATAATGACCAATAGTGACAAACTTCACTTTGCTCACAGCCTGTCAAATGTGTAATGGCATCGACAGTGGTTATTGACACGATGTTACAAAATAATGGATTTCAGATGAAAAAGAAAGAAGACACAGAAAATAAAGACAATTTATGGTAAAGATTGAAAATAATTTCAAACATTTTTTCCATCAGAACATTAACATATGATTTTTTAATTGGAAAATATTGAACCATTGTACTATATATATATAATGAACTCGTGTGAAACAATCACTATATAAAATGAGAAGTGTTATAATAATTAATAACTTTTTTTTCTAATTTGTTATCTATAGGTCCTCTATTTTAGCAGAAGTACAAAATAGTGGGAACAATAAATTACCATCGAACAAGAATGTTCTCGTTTTAGGTAAGTTTCTTGAATGATAAAAACAATATACATATATATAACATTTATCTTTTAGTCACTTTGCTTAATATGGCATTGTGTAGGCAGGTATGTTTTTTGCATACATAATGAGAATATGATACGAGTGTCAAGTGTATTATTTCTTTATTAATTGTGGGCGAGGTTAGAACAAGTGCAAAATTTTAGGTTATGTTTCTACGCTGTGGCTTTGTATATTACGCATTTCTAATTCTTTTTTTTTGTTAATTTATACCGACATTGACATATAAATGAAAACTTTATCTGGTAAATAATCTTTAATACTAAATATTTTCATGAAATTGACAGTTTTCTTAATTTTTTTAATATTTATTATTATATTTAAATGTTATTTCTTTTTATTCTTATTCTTTCATATAGTGGTAATATGGGATAGAAAAGGAGTTTCACTCAAAGAAATATAAATTTCCTAATTAAAAACAATTATTTTTAAATAAATTTATTTAAGTACTAGAACAAATTTAAATAGATAATAATATTGAGGCATGTTTATTAAAATTAACGGGGTAAATATTGTTTGTTTTGAATATTACATAAGAATAAGACGAAATTATTGACCTAGATTTATTATTTTCGATTTACAATTGATTTGTATTGGTGGTTCGAATAATCTGATTGCGCTGCCAAGAAAATAATGCGGGTGGGATAATGCAGTAAAAATACAGCTTTGCCACAGGTCAGGGAAAAGTCAGGGATTTTTATTAAAAGTACGGGAAAAATTTAATTTTTAGAATTCATGAGAAAATTCTGGATTTTTGTGTCTTTTTTGTTTGCCACATAAACAATGAAATTACCACGAATTCTAATACAAAACCTTCAATTTTTCCGTCTTCTGACAGTAATTTCTTTTCAAATAACCTAATTCTTGAAGAACTATCATAAAATTATTACAAATAAATTATTTACTTAAATATTTCAAATTTAATTAAATTTTAAAAGAGTTGCGATTACAATTTGAACTTCAAAAGGTTTCAATTTCAAATTTTATAAAATTTCAATTTTTAATGAATTTAATTAGAAATTTTAAAAACTTAAAGTTTTGAAATATTTTATAAAATAATAATTAAAATTCTTCTTAAATTAGTTAAATTTTTCAATATACATTTAATTTTATTATTAAAGTAATGGATTTATAGAACAATTTATTTAAGTTACAAACACTAAAAAAATTGAATTTTAGAGAAGTTACAAATGATTGGAGAAATTCAATTATTTTCAAAATTTTATTATCTTTATAAATAATAAAATTCTTCTCCAAAATCCAATTATTTTCCAAAATTTTACTGAAATTCTTAACAAAATTTCAATTATTCTCAAAAAGTTTCCTCAATTAAATGATTTTCAATATCTACCTACTATTTTAATAAAATTTTTGAAAAGAATTAAATAATTTAAAAAAAAATTTTAATAAAATTCTACGCAAACATTTAATTATTTTTATAAATTATAAAAATTTCACATGAATTCAATTATTTAAAACAGAATTTTCCTAATATTTTTAGAAAAAAAAATCAATTATTTAAATAGATTTTTATAAAATTCTTCGCAAGAATTAAATTATTTTCATAAATAATAAAATTCTTCTCAGGAATTCAATTATTTCTTAAAATTTTAATAATAATTGTTGCAAGAATTCAATTATTTTTATAAATAATAAAACTCATCGTAGGATTTCAATTATTTTTAATACAATTTTAAATGAATTCCGTGAAAAATGCAACTATTCTTACAAATTTTAATAAAATATTTTTTGAAAGAATTCAATTATTTAAAAATTTGTAAATAAAATTCCTCGTGAAAATTCAATTTTAAGAAAAATTTAATTATTAAGTAAATTATTTACTTTTGTATTTAAATAATTGAATTCTCGTAGAATTTTCTAATAAAAATTGATTTAAAAATGAATCTTAGTTAAAATTTTAGATAATAATTGAACATTAGAATCATTACAGCATGAATTTTTAGAAATAATTAAATTTTGAAAAGGTTTCAAACTAAAATCTTTGAAAATCTGAATTTTTTATACTTTTAACTATCAATTCTGTAGAATCAATTTTATGGAAAAATGTAAACTGAATTTTTTTGACATTATTTGAAGTTTTTATTATCTAATATGTTTAATATTATTTTAATAATAATTTTTAATTATTTAAATAATAATATTATATGTTTAATATTTTTGGTAAAATTAAATTGTAAACAAATAGATTTAAAAATTCTCAAAGAACTTTTTCAAAAATGATTGAAAATAATTGATTTAAAGAAAAATTTTCATTCAAAATTCTAGAAAATAATAATTGAATTGAAATGATGGAAATAATTTTGAAAAAGTTACAGTCTTAACAATATTCTTATATAATAAAAAATAATTATTTTTTCACTCGGTCAAAATTTTGTTTGGAAATTATAGGAAAAAGTCAGGGAAAACATTAAATTTTTGTGGCAACACTGAAATAAGAAAGAAAATTTTTAACAAAATAGAAAAACACTAGTTTTTTATTTAGAAAATCTATTAAGGACATAATAGACTTCATTAAGAAAACAAAAAAAAATCTTATGACAATTTTAAGTAAAGAAAAAGAAAGAATTAAACAGATTATTGAAAATTATATTTTTCTGAGTAATATTTAATTTTCTTTCTTCTAGAAATTTGAATTACGAAACTTTTTCTTTAATCAATAGTTTACGAGATAAATGTTATTGTAAAAAAGTTACAGAATTGTTTAATTGCAAATAGCTTGCAAAATATTTAGGAAAAATGTTCAAGCCTCGAATATTATGACTTTTTTTAAATATTGCAACAATTCCACATTTTTAGTATAAAATGCAAATTATTTCCATTTTCATAGTGTAAAAAATAACTATAGCACATTTTTTAAAAATTATTTTTAAATAACTTTTTAAGATAATAAAATTTTTAAAAATACCTATAAAATTATAAAATTTGAATTTAGAATTATTTTTAACATTTTGAAGAAAACAATCATGTTCAAAATGTTTAATTAAAATTCTTCAAAGATATTAATTTTTTTTAATTATACAAAAACTCTTTTAGAAATTTCAATTATTTTCGTAAAATTACATTACAATATTTTAAAATATTAATTCTTAGAATTGTTAGATTTCTGAAGGTTTATTGAAACTTATTTAATTCTATTTCCCGTAAAAAAACAAATAAGAAGTATTTAATTAACAAAATTATTGAAGTTTTGAATAATTTAATTTAGATGTCAGTGAATTGATAAAATCAGTAAAATACAAAATAAAATTTTTGTTACAACACTGAATTAATTAAAAGACTTTTTTTTTTTATTTTTAATCGAGTAAAACGACTTTTTTGCGCCTTACAGTCGATCCGAGGCATGTAATTATAATAATGTATTATAATCAAATTTTATTTATTTGAAAATATTATTTATATCTTATGAGCATAATTATTTCTCTACATATTAGTTCATTCAACTACAAATATCTAAATTTCATTAAAGAAATTTTTTCAGTATTTTTGTTTACTTTATTATTTTTATAGTTAGAAAATTGATAAAATGAACAATCACTTCGAGTCAATGTAAATTAGAATTTATTTTTATGTTTCAACGTTTCCAACTTTGTTAATTTTCGGTAATTCATTTGTTAAAAGTATTCGATTTATTTTTAAAAAAATATGTATTTTGTTAATTTATTTTCAAAAATTTTATTGCAGTTTCTGAAGAGAGCAGCTGTGCTGTTGAAAAGTAAAAGATAAATTCTTAATTAACATTGTCTCGGAGTGATAGTTCATTTTAACAATCTTTAACTATAAATACGACCGAGTGATAGAGTCAAACTCATATTTTATTATTCATAGTTAATACTCTAATTATTAAGATTAGTTAAGAGAATTCAAATTTATTAACTCAACTGTTTCTTAATTAGTGCATTAAATTTATTCTTTATTAAATTTTTTTAATTTAATCCCAACGTATAATAGATTCTTAACCGAAAACGCCAAGATTTTGAAAATTGACAGTTACAATAATTATGAAAAATTGAATTTTTGTATTTAAATAATTGGAAGAAAAATTAAAAATAATTGATTTGGAAATGAAGTTCAGTTAATAATTGTAGAAAATAATTTAATTTTGAAAGGGTTATTAATTATAGTTTTAAGAAATTATTAAATTTCGGAAAGTTTTAATTTGAAACTTTTCTAATTTTATTTCCCATGGAAAAACAAATAATAATTATTTAAATATTTATTAAAGAAAATTATTTAAGTTTTGAAAAATTGAATTTAGAAATCAGTGAAAGGGGAAAATCAGGAGAATAGGTACAAAATAAAATTCTTTTGACATTATGCTTATGAATTAAATATACGACTTTTTCGACTCTTTTTGTATTTTTAATCGACTAAAGTGACTGTTTTTGCTTCTTAAAGTCGATCCGAGGCCTGAATTTAAAAAAGTCTCTAATAGTACTATTTCATAAACCGAAGTTTTAAATATCAATTTATTGCGTAAAGAAATTAATTCTATAAAAAATGATAGAATTATGAATATTGACGAACATTTTTACTTTTGAGATTCAATATGGAGATGTTACGCTCCACCTGCGAACGCCAAGGTCACCGCTAGATGGCAGTTCAGTTGACAAAATCAAATTCCTTGCCATCTTGTGGCGACCTTGGCGTTCGCAGGTGAGGAAATTAAATCACCATTTTATCCCTCAAAAACTTATTTATATTATTTTTTATTTCTAAATTCGGTTTGAGGTCTGTGCATTATTTATAAATAATTTGTTAAAGTTGAAAATAATTTTTTAAAACATTTTGAAACAGTTATATATTCTTAAATAGTAGATAATAATACTTTTTACAAAGTCGCAGTAAATGAAGCATTAACAGTAATTGACGCTTGATTACAAGAAAAATATTATAAGAAAAATAATTTTTCTTCTGTTAGATTCTTTCGTTATGGAAATGTATTTGTGCCGAAAAACTATAAGAAAATATGATTACTTCATAATATTGAACCATACTTTTTTATTTAATTAAAAGAAATGAATTTAATTCCTTATATTAATATTAATAATGAATTATAATAGAAGGAGTAACACTTTGCTTTCTTGTACAGAGATAAAACTTTTCACTTCAAACTTAAAACTTTGCAAAAAAATTAAATTTGTAAAAATTTCTACTTATTTTAATAATTTTTTCACTTGAGTTTTAGTAAAAAAAATTTTAACTAGTTAATCAAGTTCAATTCTACTAAAAATTGGTGAAAATTTTAACTAATTAGAATTAGTGAAACTAATTCAGATTTAGAAAGATAAACTATTATTGGTTATGATAGTTTGAAATTTAAACAAACGCTTTTAAAGACAAAATTTCAGAAAAGTCATGTTTTTCAAAATTTTTGATTCTAAGGAGAATTTAAATTAAACCGATTTGTTCAAAAAATAACATTTACCAATTTAGTCGCACTTTTTCTCTATATTATAATTACAAAATTGAATATTTTTCAGTTACAGACTGATAGAAACATTTGTCCCTAATTTTTTTGTTCTAAAAGTTAAATCTAAAGGATTTAAGGAACCAAATTCCAAGCTGGTTTACCGTCACCTTCTCCAACTTTAAGAGTTAATTCATCGACACATGCCATGCGAATTCTGGCTGACGTTGCAGGTGATTCTAAATTAAATGGCCCTTTAATATTCATATCCTCCCTTGCGGCTCTTATTGCTTCCTTAATGGCAAAAAACGCTGAACATGCAAGGAAGAGTGGTGGTTCACCAACAGCTTTTGATGAGTAAACTGCTCTTGGATTAGGTGCACCCTTCAATAACGAAACATTAAATTCTTGTGGAATGTCTGCAAATCCAGGAATTTTATACGCTCCAGGACCTCGACTCAAGAGTGTTCCAGTCGGCGAATACATCAATTCCTCCATAGTGTATAATCCATAACCCTGAACAAATCCTCCTTCCACTTGACCAATGTCAATAGCAGGATTTAAACTCTCTCCCAAATCCATAACAATGTCAGTTCTCAATAATTGATGATCACCCGTTAGACAATCAATTTCGACTTCAGAGCATGCGACTCCATAGGTGAAATAATCGAACGCAACACCCGAATTTGTATCAAAACAATATCCAATGTCTGGTGTTTTATAGAAGCCCGTTGACGAGAGACTAATTCTCTCTAAATAAGCTTCTCTTATCCATTCTTCCCATGTGGCTTCTGGTCGTTTGTCAATGATAGGCTGTATGCGATTCATAATTTCGGTGCAAGCTTTCAAAACAGCCATTCCGTATAAATCGGAACTAGCACTCGCAGCAGTTGGCGATGAATTCGGCACTTTATCGGTCGCTGTGTCTGGAATGTGAATCCTGCTTGGATCAACTTTGAGAGTTCTACTCGCGACCTGAATCATTTTTGTATGCAGTCCTTGGCCCATTTCTACCCCTCCGTGTGCAATCATAACGGACCCATCCTGATAAATATGCACGAGAGAACCGCCTTGATTGAGGAACAAAACAGTGAAAGCGATTCCAAACTTTGTGGGAAGAATCGAAATCCCCCGCTTCTTAAATCTGTGCTCTTTATTATATCGCCGAATGTCCGCCAGACGTTTATGGAAATTCGATTTTTCCAGACACTGCTGCCAACATCTTTCCATTGTGCAGTAAGTGAGTACTTGTTTGTAAGGGGTTACGTCTCCTTCCCTGTAGAGATTAATTCCAGCAATTTCAACCGGGTCGCGATGGAGAAAATCGGCAATTTCACGGATGAAATTCTCGGCGGCGAACATACCTTGCGGTCCACCGAAACCGCGAAAAGCAGTGTTGGTTGGTAGATTTGTTTTACAGACATAGCCGATAATTTTCGTATTTGGTATATGGTAGGCATTTTCGCAGTGGAACATGGCTCGTTCAATGACACCTCGCGATAGATCCATGGAGTAACCGGCATTGGCGTAGATCACTATTTCAAGAGCCTGGATTTTACCGTCTTTGTTGAAGCCAACTTTGTATTTGTGTAAGAACGGATGACGCGTACCACTCATCATCATATCTTCGTCCCTGTCCAACATGCATCTGACCGGTTTTCGCAATTTATGAGCTGCTAGAGAAACCGGAAGGGCTACCACCGCGGCCCTTGATTCCTTACCTCCGAATCCGCCGCCTAATCTTTTTGCCCGAATGACGACTTTGTTCATTGTCAGGTGCATCAGTTCAGCGACTACTTTCTGAATTTCCGCCGGATGTTGCGTGGAGCAAATTAATTCAATTTCGTCCTCCTCCCTCGGAATCGCTACACACGCATTCGTTTCCAGGTAGAAATGCTCCTGACCTCCCATTCTTGCCTCACCGGTCAGAATATAGTCCGATTCTGCTAAACCTTTATCTGCGTCGCCACTGGTTATGCTGATTGGAAAACCTGCGAAGTACGATTTCTTGAGAATCGCGTCCTCGATACTCACTATGGGGGTCAGTATTTCGTAGTCGACTTTAACGTTCTTTGCGGCTCGTTGAGCGATCAGTTGATCGACGGCTACCACGATTCCGATCACTTGTCCTTGACTCGTAACTTTTGTAGAGTAGAATACTTCCTCATCGTGGAAGATTGGTCCTGTTTTATTGTTCGGCGCATCTTTGGCGTCAAAGAACGCGATTACGCCTTCCATTTCAAGAGCCTTTGTTGGATCCACTTTCAAAATGTTCGCGTGAGCTTGAGTTGAGATGACAAATCCCGCGTACAATTCCCCACTGACTTTAGGAACATCGTCGCAATAGATAGCCTCCCCGGTTGCTTGTTTCATCGCACTGACATGAACGACAGGTCTGCCTATCAGATCCGTCGGTCTTTGGTCTTCTGGTGCCACTTGATAATACTGCGAACTGCAAGGCATCTTGTAGTGAAAACCTTCTGGAATCGAGTCCCATTCTTTCGGAATTTGCAAATGTGGATTTCTCTCAAACATTGAATTATTACTTATCGACTTTACGACACTGATAAAACCTTTGAAGAAGAGACTTAGGGTTAAAGAACGCCGATAGAGAATCATTCCCCCAGGGGCGTTGCCTGCCAAAGGAAATTCTTCATTAAGACTGTCGTAAATCATTTCTAGATTTTGAAAGTTCCACTTTTTTCCAACTAATTTCTCACTCGTTTTTGTTGCTAAAACTGTAGTTGGCGCGAGACCTCCGAAAGCTACGTTGAGTTTCTTTACGGAAACATCGGACTCGAGGATGACATTCAGGGCCATGTTGACGATAGCAATATCATCGTCGCGTCGCTTCGCTTGTTTGTAGGCAACAAAGAATTGATTCTCGAGGGAGAAGGGAATGCTGATCGAAACTAGAAGTTCGTCAGGAGTGACAATATTTCGTCGATAGCCGGTAAAGAAAGTATGATCCATTGTTACTGATCGGAAACCGTTATTTAGACTACATAGATTTAGTTTGATACCAGCGGCCATGAAAACAGGATTTAGATCTGATATAGGACTTCCGGTCATTATATTCCCTCCTACCGCTGCTACATTTCGGATCTGTTTTCCAGCAAACCAGTGTAACATCTCTACGATTCCGGCAAAAATTCTTGTTTTGCATTCAGGTTTAATTTTTATTTGTTCTCTCAACTTTTCCTCCATTTCAACTAAAGTTACACTCGCTCCCACTTGTAGATATTCTTTACTCTCCGTTATTTCACACATTTCCTTGACTTTCGTCGGTTGAATCAAGACGGGATACAGAATATTTCGGAATTTCATTTCCACGCCAACTTCCGTGTTTCCCACGATTATCTTCGCATTCGGATAAGTCTTCTTTAGTGATAGAATTTCTTTGAGGTCGAGCGGACGGTACCAGGTGATGTTCCTCCCCTTGAGAATCAAATACTCCTCGTCGTATTTCGCGGAGATTTGCAATTTCGGCGGGAAAATTGGTTCTTGCGTTGGATCGTAGGGTCGAAAAGCCTTCGGATCGAAGAGTTCATTTGGCTCCGATGTGAAGACTCGTTTACAGCAATTCTCTCCCATTGCGCAAACGGTTCCCTTAACGTGGCCATTCTGTTGAGGGAGACGTTGGACTTTTTCCCACTCCTCGGTGAATGTTTTGTAACCTTCAATTATTGCTCTGTAACCAGTGCATCTGCACAAATTGCCCTGGAATGCAATTTCCAAGTCCGTTATCTGTGGCTTTGGCATTGATCTCAGAAGGGCGTACATGGACATGACGATTCCTGGTGTACAGAATCCGCATTGTGAACCATGAGCTTTTGCAATTCTCTCCTGTACGGGATGAAGTCTCGTCTTTGTACTTCCGATTCCTTCGACTGTTGTGACTGACATTCCATGAACGGCGCAAACTGGAGTCAGGCAAGCATTTGCTGCGTAGTGTATTGGCTTTTCTGTTTGACGATTAAATTTTGAGATCATTACGGTACAAGCTCCGCAACCTCCTTCGGCACATCCTAATTTTGTACCACACAATCCAAGTTTGTTGCGCAAATAATAAAGAAGTGTCCATTCTGGCTCAACTGCAGTTTCTCTTACTTCGACTCCATTCACGTAAAATACGAGTATATTGCTCAATTTCGGATAATTTGTGTCATCAGTGTCTGTAGTGGATTCGTGCGTTCCATTCTGAAATCCATTTTTCTCCGCGTCACTTCGGGATCTCTTTAAATGATTCTCCATCTTTGATTATCGACTCAGTGTTGTGGATCTGAAACAAAAGATAATAATTCTTTTTCATTTTGAATTATATTAGATTTTAATTTACAGGCTTCGCACTCCTCTACTAAAACCTACTATTTACTACTTTTTTTACGTTATGCTACTATTTGGGTACTTTTTTCAGATTTCAGCTACTAAAAGCTACTATTTCTGTTTTTTTTTACAATTTCCACTACTTCAAATTCGCTAACACTAGAAATCAAAAAACTATTCTCAAAAATTATAATCAAATTCTTTAAAACGATTCAATTATTTTCAAAAATAATCGAAATTCAGTTATTTTCAAAAAATATTCAAAATTTAATTATTTTCATAAAATTTCGCAAAAGAATTTTATTATTTAAGAAAAATCGATAAAAATCATCGGAAATTCAATTACTTTTCATAAATAATAAAATTTTCACAGAAATTCAATTAATTTAGAAAAGCATTTTCAAAAAAATCAATTATTTTATTAAATTTGAATACAATTCTTCACAATAATTCAATTATTTTCACTAATAAAAACATTATTCATGTAAATTCAATTATTTTTGAAAATTTTAATAAATTTATTTGCAACTATTCAATTATTTTCATAAATAATAAAACTCATTGAAGAATTTCAATTATTTTTTTAATACTATTTCAATTTAATTAATCGAAAAATTCAATTATTTTCACAAATAAAATTTTCCACAAGAATTCAATTATATTTCAAATAAAATTTTTATAATATTTATGATATTTCGAAAAAATTATTTATTTAAAACAATGTTTATAAGATTCTTATGAAGAATTGCATTATTTTCAAAAATAACAAAAATTTTTCACAGAAATTCAATTATTTTTCGAAATTTTCATAAAATTTTTCGCAATAATTCAACTATTTTCATAAATAATAAAATTCTTCTCAGGAATTCAATTATTATTGAAAATTTTAATAAATTTCTTTGCAACTATTCAATTATTTTCATAAATAATAAAACGCATTGAAGAATTTCAATTATTTTTAATACAATTTTACAGGGATTTCTCAAAAAATGTAATTATTCTTAAAAATTTAAGTTCAATTTCTCGAAAAAAAACAATTATTTAAAAAATGTTTTTTTTTAATTCTTTGGAAGAATTCAATCATTTACAAAAATATTTGAATTTTTCATAGGAATTCAATTATTTTTAAATATTTTAATAAAATTCTTCGAAATGAAATTAATTATTTTAAATACAATTTTAATTAAATTTTTTTGAAATAATTCAATTATTCTTTTAGATTTTAATTAAATTTTTCCCCAGAATTCAATTATTTACATAAATAATTCTTCAAAAGTATTCAATTATGTAGATAAATAACAAAATTATTCTCGAAAATTTAATTATTTTGAGGCATTTTAATAAAATTGTTTGCAAATTCAATTATTTTCTTAAATAACAAATATTCATCACAAGAATTCAATTATTTTTAAAAGTAATAAATTTCTTCTTGGAAACTCAGTTATTTTACAAATTTCTAATAAAATTGTTCTCAAGAATAAAATTCAATTTTTTTTATAACTAATAAAATGCTTTTTAGGAATTCAATTATTTTCAAAAAAATTTAATAAAATACCACACATACATTCAATTATTGACGAAAATTTTAATAAAATTCTGTGTAAAATTGAATTATTTTTAAAAACTTTTCTTAATTCAATAATTTTCAATATTTACTATTTTCATAAAATTTCTAAACAGAATTCAATTATTTAAAAAAAGTTTTTTTTTAAATTCTTCGCAAGAAGAATTTTTGTCAGTTTTGTGAAATGTTTAAAGCGAGTTTCTTTGGTCAAGTTTTATTTTTCGATAGTTACTTTTTTACTATTTTATTTAGTTTGAAAGCTAATTTTTTCTACTTTTTTAAAATTAATTATCGAGTGCGAAGTCTGTAATTAATAAAATTACCAAATTTATATATTTAAATATTTATTTTGATTACAATAGGCAACTATTTTAAATGGCGAGCGGCATAAGGGAAATGATCAACAAATTTTTAAATAAATGAATTTATTCTTTTTACGAATTTGAATAAAATTTTTAAAAATAATCGCATTTTTTGGGGAATTTCATTAAAATTGTAATAAAAATAATTAAAATTCTGTAATGAGTTTTATTATTTATGAAAAAATTTTTGAAAAATTGTATTGAAAATAATTGAATCTTTGCAAAGAATTTTATTCAAAATTATGAAAATAATTGAATTTCAGCGACGAAGAATTTTGTTATTTATTACAATAATTGAATTTTTAACAAGAAGTTTAATAAAAAATTTGAAAAATAATTGATTTTTCTTGACAAGAATTTTAATAACATTTTTGAAAATAATCTGATTTACTACTGGACTTTAATTTTAATAAAAACTTTGAAAAATAATTGAATTCTTTTGCCGAGAATTTTATTCCAATTTTTGAAAATAATTGAATTTCGGAGATGAATTTTATTATTTTTAAAGATAATTGACATTTTTACAAGAATTTAAAAAAAGTTTTGAACATAATTTAATTTTTGCGAAGAATTTTATTACTTTTGAAAATAATTGAATTACTAAAATTTAAAAGTTCTCCAAAATTCAATTTTTTTTTAGTGATTTTATTTAAAATGCTTTTATGAATTCATTATTTTTAATAATTAATTAAATATAATATATTAAAACATTTTACGATTTTAAGAAGAATTTGTATTATTAAAAATTAAAATTGTTCAACAATCTAAGTTCTTTAAAATTTTTAATAAAATTCATTTAAAATTATGAAACTTTATAAAATTTCAAATTGAAACCTTTTGAAGTTCATCTATTTATGAATTGCAAACGCAATTTTTTTTTAAATTCAATTAATTTTTAAATATTTAAGGTATTTGTCGCGTAAATTCGTTTTCGTCAGATTTTTTTTAAATTTCACATAATTATTCTTTGGATATTTATCTACAAAATAAGGCCTATTAAAATAAAATTGACCGTCTGTAAGTCTCAAAAAATGAAATCAAAGTTTCGATTTTTAACATGTAAGGTATAGGAAAACCATATGAAAACCACAGATCACCCCTATAGTACTTCCAGGATTTAGCATTAGAGACTCAGGTATGCTTAGTGATTATAGTTTGCGTAGTTCCCGCGAACAGCAACAGATGGCGCGGCTCGCGTCCTGCTCTATGAATACATTTAATTCAAATGGGATATTGTTTAAAATCAAATGAATTAATACTTTTAAATATATTAAAAATATAGTATTATTATTAATATATTCTTAAATACATTATTATTAATATATTATTATTTAAAATATATTATTACATGAAATATTGTCCAAAAAATAGAAATCGCGTAATATAGTAGAGTAGTACATTATTCCTGAATTATTTACAATATATTTATTAATGTATGCAACTACATATTATGCAATGTAGTATTAGAGAAGAAATTAATTCTTTAATTGTGATTTAGGTATAATCTTTTTGTGAACATTACATGAAAACAGGAAAAATTCCACATGTTTTCAGTCCCGACTGGGAAAGAAGGAATGTCAAAAGCCATTTATCGTGCCAATTTGGTTGTCAAAAGTTTACAAGTAATTTGTGAAAAACTCACTCAAAAATGATATATTTTTGAAAATAATTGAATTCTTTGGAAAAATGTTATTAACAATATAAAAACAATACATTTTTTTAAAAATTTTATTAAAATTGTATTGAAAAAATCGAATAACTGTTTAAATTTTATTTTCGAAAGTAATTGAATTCTTTTAAGAAATTTATTAAAAAATGTATTGAAAATAATTTAATTTTTACAAACAATTTTATTTTCGAAAGTAATTGAATTCTTTCGAAAAATTTAAAATAATTGAATTTTAGTTAAAAGTTTTCCAAAAAAACTTCCAAAAATTCTGTAATTCTGGAAATAATTAAATTCTGATACATATTTGATAAAAATTTTCAAGAATAATTGAATTTTTTTGAGAGTATTTAAAATAATTGAATTTTTTTGAAGAATTTTATATTAAAATTTTCAAAAATAATTTAATTCAAATACAGAATAGGTACCTATTAAAAATAAAAAAATTTTCTAATTTATGAAAGTAATTTAGTTTTTTTGAGAAATTTTATTGAAATGGTATTAAAAATAATTTAATTTCTGAAGAGGATTTTATTAAAATAAAAGAATTCAATTCTTTTAGGATATTTTACTAAAATTATATTGAAAGAAATTGCAATACTGAGGATTTTATTTTTTAAAGTAATTAAATTAATGCTTAATAATAATTTAATGAAATCTGTCTTTTCTTTGTAAGCTTAACTAAATAAAGATAATAATAATAAATTATTTCATTTTAAACATTAAAAATTGAATTTTCTTTAATCCTGCATTGCAGAATATGTAGTTGCATACATTAATAAATATATTTCACATAATATATTTTAAATAATAATATATTAATAATAATGTATTTAAGAATATATATATATTTTTTTTTTGCTTAGGGACTTTTGGGAAATCTGCCTACCTAGAATTCCGCACTCCAAGGTTATGTTGGGTTGGTAAAATGAAACAAAAGGAAATATTAAAAAAAAAGATAAATAAATAAATGTTATATATTAACAATAATACTATATTTTTAATATATTTAAAAGTATTAATTCATTTGATTTTGAACAATATCCCATTTGAATTGAATGTATTCATAGAGCAGGACGCGAGCGGCGCCATCTGTTGCTGTTCGCGGGAACTACGCAAACTATAATCACTAAGCAACCACAGTTTATATGTAAGCAATAGGGGGCTGCCACAGATTTTTAATTTTTGCACTTATACTAATCGTCAGATTTTTTAGAAAAACTAAAGTTTCATTTATTGAACCAAAATGAACTTTTATAAAAAAAATTAAAATTTTTCACCGTCTTGTTTAAAAGATATTTAACGTCAAACTTGAAAAATTATTTTAACAATTACTGTAAATGACAGGTGAATTCGTAAACGTG